ACTACAACGTCATGAGGGACAATGGTTTCCCAATGCCAGAAGATGAAAAGATGATATATGGAAAATTCAAAGAGGGTTTCATTTGGAGTAGTGCAACCGCATCATACCAGGTAAAAATGCTTACATGACAAATATCCAAATATCTTTGTCACTTATTGTCAAGTCAATCTAAGTTCAGATACAGTGAAGTCCCCCAAAACAGCAGTTTGTATGCAACTGGTTTCAGCAAGATGTTTCCTCATTGTAGCATTTTTTTGAGAATAAGCAATTTATAATATTTGACAGGATTGTCACAATTCCAGTATTACACTCCAGGATTCCTGCTTTGGACTATCGATAAATACGGATATTAAGAGCAGATACAACATCAAACTTTCTTGCTTTTAAATTGGAATTATTATTTACCGAAAAGAAATTCAAAATTATGTCAAGTTTTACATTGAAAATGGTACACAGCATATTTTATCAGCTAAAACTGAGGTCAGCACTATTTACTGATTCACTATGTGTGTAATGTCCAAAGGGTGCAACTTTAGACCATTACTGAAGATCTGAGATTCATAAAAATGTACATGCTGATGTCTAAATCCCTGGTTTCAAGTGGCAACTGAATCCATTTGCAACTTCATTTTCAATACCTAGAAACCCTCAGTGTTTTTTGTTTTTTTTATCTCAGTCATTGCAACAGTTATTGGAAATAACTATTTTTTTTAATACTTTATGGTATTAAGAACATTTTACTCTAAAATAATGGTTGAAATTTAAAACATATAAATGAGTTAGATTTCCAAATTTCTTCATTGATTGTTCCCAAGGTCTCTGGAAAAATCATTCTCAAAAATCCAGCAACAAGAAATTAGACATATTCTCTGTTCTGATTTTCTTCTTTCCAGATTGAAGGGGCCTGGAGAGACGATGGAAAAGGTCTCAGCATCTGGGACAAGTTTACACACACTCCTGGAAAAATACCTGAGCATGACACTGGGGACATTGCTTGTAACAGTTACAATAAGATGGAAGACGACATTGCTGCGCTAAAGAAAGTCAAGGTGTCTCACTATCGCTTCTCCATATCCTGGCCAAGGGTGCTGCCTGATGGTACTACCAAAAATGTCAATCAGGCTGGTCTAGATTATTATCAGAAACTTCTGGATTCCCTTATTGCCGCAAACATTCAGCCTCAAGTAAGTATTTCTCAAAAATAATCATTAAGATAAAGTGTATTTCCTTTTTTACCAACAGTTTTTCTTTTGGATCAGGTCACTTTGTACCACTGGGATCTCCCACAAGCTCTACAGGACATTGGAGGTTGGGAAAATGAGACCATCATTCAAAGATTCAAGGAATATGCAGATTTCCTCTTTCAGCATCTTGGTCCCAAAGTGAAACTTTGGATCACTTTGAACGAGCCATTCGTAATAACTGTATTAGGCCATGTCCAAGGTGCACATGCCCCAGGTATGTATGGTATTCTTAACTGGAATTACACTTCATTTTCAGAGAGTTAGAAGTCAGAATTATGGATTTTTCTCAATGCAGAACTCCTAAGGAAGAAAATAGCATTTACTGGAAATACAATTTCATAGAAAAATCTTCATCACATTTTTTAAAATGTTTTTTTCAGGTTCAAATGACAGACCAGATACTCTTCCATACATTGTGGGCCACAACATAATCAGAGCCCATGCAGAGGCCTGGCATGTCTACAATGACAAATACAGAGCCTCACAGGGAGGACTGATCTCCATCACTGTGAACTCAGACTGGGCAGAACCCAGAAACCCCTACAAGCAAGAGGACTATGAAGCTGCACGAAATGTGGTTGAGGTATATATTGTCCTGTGATTGTAAAACACAAAACCTTGTGTGGTGTTGTAGTTGCTGATTGTTGTGTGTCAAACTCTGTCCACAGTTTTATCTTGGCTGGTGGGTCCATCCAATTTTTAATGGTGACTACAGCCCACTGGTGAAGAAATCTGTTCTAGAACAAAGTCTTGCAGGTGGTTTGACAAAATCCAGGTAAGATCCTTTATTATACTTAATTCTTTGCAGTCTGTGCAGGTTCTTCTTAATTTCATTTGCAACTTATTACCTCCACTGACATTTCATGTACTACAATTTCTTCTTGAATTTTTATTCTCTAGGCTGCCCGAGTTTACTCCTGAGGAAATTAAGCGAATTAATGGCACATATGATTATTTTGGATTAAACCATTACTGCAGTGTCTTGGCATTCCCTGTAGACTATGGATCTCATCAGCACTTTGAGGCAGACAGGTAAGGCGGTTAATGTTCTCAAAAAGCAATTTAAAACCGACTTTTATATTTCTCCTAAATATTCTTGTAAAAAGTATTCATGTTTTTAATTTAAACTCTAAATGATATAATTATTCACTTGTCACAGGGGTGTGGTGGTTATTAGTGATCGGACCTGGTTGGAAACAGGTTCTGTCTGGCTGAGGATGACACCATTTGGTCTTCGAAGATTGTTGAAATTCATCAAGGACAATTACAGAAATCCTCCGATTATCATCACTGAGAACGGTGTCTCTGAAAATGGGCCAGTTGATCTGAATGACGTTCACAGGAAATACTATTATGAAAAGTACATCAACCAAGTGCTGAAAGGTATTAAAACAACTTTATATATTAGAAAACGTACAGAAATTAATATGTCCGACCAACTTGTGTGCTCTGATAAATGTTATTTTTTTTACAGCTTATTTGCTTGACGACGTCAATATTGTTGGCTACACTGCTTGGTCTCTGCTGGACAACCTGGAATGGGCTGTTGGATATACAGAGAGATTTGGACTTTTCTATGTCAATCGCACAGACCCTGATCTGCCTCGAACCCCCAAAGCCTCTGTGTCCTATTACTCCTCCATCATCAGCTGCAACGGGTTTCCTGACCCAACAACTGGACCTCATGAGTGTTGGAACTCTAACCCGACACTTGCTGATCCCTAAACCCAAAGGTAGGGGTTAGGGTTAGGGTTTCCAAAGACTGAAACACAGATTCAGTGTTTGGAAAGTAAACTGATTGAGATGTTCTGATTTCAGATCAGATCAAAAATTCTCTTGTCAAAATACTTAGTTGGACATATCTACCTTGAATTGAGATCAACTTTACTGATCAATTTATACCCAGCGGTAGAAGTATGCAACTTTACTATCACAAGCTAGCTGAAAAGCTAGCTTATCAAATAATCTGTCTTAAGAGTTTCCGAATGCAATGTTAATCATGCAAAATTGTGTTACGTTTATAATTATTAATAAAGGTGTCTATTATTGTTCCCTGCAGGAATAAAAGAGGCAATTCCTGGAATCAACAATGTGAACTTCCTGGATGTGAGCATCTCTTCTGAAGATGCTGCAACCGGACTTAACACAACATTTACTTTGCTGATTGTAGCACCTGCTTGAACAATTTATGTGTCTGTTGGATCGTTTCTTGTAAAAAAAAAAGATGTTCCAAAAGAAAATTGTAGAGTTAATTGAGGGAACAAGGGAAATTCTGATAAATCAAATATGTATGATTCCCATTTTTAAATTTAAAAGGCTGAATTTTGCAAAAACACAGAATTTTGAATTTTTCAACACTTAATGTTATAGTTGTGCTATATTTAAAATAATATAATTTATCTTTACAAATAAAGGTGCAAATAACTTATTGCTTACTGGGAAGTCAAGATGACTGGACCCATTTTTCCCCATGTGCACTATTTGTGGTATTTAAAGTATTTTTGTGCTTCTTTATGATGATTATTTTTATGTGTGAAAAATGTTGAGCCAACTGAAGTAAATTACTGGTGAAGCCCAGACCAATTGTGTGTAAAACTCTAGATTATTTCTGCCTATTATATTGGCAGAATGTTTTGCATAATTTGTGACTTATGGAATTTTTATCACCATATAAAAAAAACACTGATCAAGTCACTGTCATACTAACTTATTGTAACATCAAGATTATCTTTGTGAGACAAACTGGAAACACAACATGAAAGCCAATATCTGATTTCTGCTACTTGTCCTACAAAGCTTCTGTTTAATAAACTTATTGCAAAGAACCACGCTGTTCCTGTTTCGATTTTGTACACAATCTGTTCCCCTCCAATTATATTACTCTTTAATTTCTTTTAGGATAATGTCTGACTTTATGCAGTTTTGTTTCTTTTTTATTGCTCCATATCAGTTTGTCTCCCCCTGCTCCTCATACCTGCTTTCTTTGTGAACAACTCATAAGCTAATAGTACTGTAAAATAACTAATCCCACTGCTTCAATCTGTCATTTTTAATACAAACCACTGACTAAGTTCCATTTCAATTACCTGGATAACTATCATTTCAAATTGAAGGATTGTAAGATGTAAATCCAGCAGATGGCAGCAAATACAACTAGATTAGATGGCTGCCACTTGCTGTAAACTAAAGCCTCAAGAATTAGCAACTCCCTTGATGGTTTTCTTCACTTTTAGGTCCCAGATTGTGGCTTAATGCTTTATCTGTGTTCCTGGAATATCTCTAGATAGTATTTAGTATTTAGAAAGTAATTGTCTTAAAGATGAACACTCCTGCTACACAAGTGTTTTGGTTATCTTCCAAACACAGGTAAAAGGGATAACAGAGTGTTTGGAGCAACAGCACAGAAACAACCCAAGAAGTTTCTGACTTAAGGTGGAAGGCATGCATCAACTAAACTGAAGCTGTTTCTTATTAACAAATATTTAGTTGCTTAAATAGCTATTAACAAATACTGCCATTGGCTATCTTTCAAATTGAAAACCTGAAACTCGTCCATTGGCCACACTGTAGTAACCCTCAGTTAACATTTTAATAAGCATCTAGCAGCAGCACATTTTAGGTTCTTCAGACAACATTGGGATATTGTTATCAATTGGATGAGTCCAGAGTCTGAGTACATCATACAACTGCAGTAAAACACTTATCAAACCCTAATTGTGCAACTGATATGAGAGCAAAATGTCTAAATAGCTGTGTGATCAGTTGTTGTTCAGATTGGTTTTCTGGAGTCACAATGAACAGGTTGCTGTGGGTTGTGTGTCTGTTTTTTTTATGTCTGATTGGTGATTGGAAGAGTCAGGTGAATGGAGAAGATCATTTTATGCTTCTTGCTGGCCCTCTGACTGAGGATCACAGAACCTCCAGCAGTGACGAAAATGTCTTTGACTGCAGTCATCCCACACCAGCAGCTTCCAAGCAGTATTTTAAGTACCTCCAGACCAAAGGGGTGACACACTTCAAAGTGCCACTGTCATGGGCAAAACTTCTTCCTACGGGCCTGACCAGCAAGCCTCAACAGGAGGTGGCAAGGTGTTACCAGACCCTGCTGAAGAACCTGCAGGCGGAGGGCTTGCAGCCTCTCGTCATTCTTCATGGATCGACAGTTCCGGACTCCTTGAGGTCCAGGTATGGAGGCTGGGAAAGTCAGCAGCTTCTAGACCTGTTTCAACAGTATGCCGAGTTTGCTTTGAGAGAATTTGGCCATTTGGCAAATTCATGGGTGACATTTAGTGACCTGGATGAGATTTTGCATGAAGGACCAGCTGTCGATGGTCACAGTCGTCTTCAAAATATCCTTCAGCTCAACAAGGACATTCATGAGTTTTATCATCAAAACTTTCCATATGAAGGTAAGAAAACTCCAGTCCTTTTCCTACATAGATAATATTCTTTCTTTTGTATATATTTATATAATGTTTTCTCGACTGAATTGTAATTTCCAGTCATTTTAAATTGCAATCAGTTCAAATGTTTTTGGTATGACTAAGATTTAACCTATCAAGAAAATTGCTTCACAGTCAGTTGATACTGTCCATACCGATATGATTTTACTGCTTTGCTGATAACAGAATATATTTCCACGTTATCTCAGTAATCAGTCCATGTGAGTTGTGTCAAGATATCTCCAAAGCAGTCTTTCCAAAACACCAATTTCTACAAATAGTCATTAGCTTGAAATATTAAATATATTACATCCAGTGCTCTTAGGTTTTCTTCCTGTCACTTTTTCTCTTCAGGGAAACGTCTATCGTTTGGATTGAATGCAAAACACGTGGATCAACTTTCCATTCTTAAAGCTTTCACAAATGTAAGCTTCTTCTCTATTTACAGTGTGCATCAGGTCCCACTGCCTTAAAACAAACCGTAATCTCAAACAATGACAAAAGGATGTTACTAATATAAAGAAGATAATCTAGATAAGATTTGTTCACTGGAATTGTGTGCACAAAACAGTACAATGAACATCAGTTGGTACTGATCATCACACACCAAAATGTAATGGAATAATTAGATTTTATTAATATCAGAAAATGGAAGAAGAAGAATATATTTTCATTCAGTGTATTTATGTGTCAGGTGACTGACAGTCAGTCTCTCTGGGATCCTAACTTGTGGGGCTCTTATCTGCCTGATGAAGGGCAGAGATTTATGGGTTCTTTTAGGATATTTTTCACCTGCTTATGCCAGTGGTTTCCGAACCTGCTCCTCAAGTACCACTGGATTGGATGTTTTAGACATCTCTCTATTCAAGTAAATCTGATTCAAATTACTGCACAACTTCCACAGCTTGCCATCAAGTTCTGCAAAAGCCTGAAAATCACCCATTCTTTTAGATAGTATGTGCAGTAGTGAGAAGACATCTACAACATGCAGGACAATGGTCCCTGAGGACTCTTTAGCTTTTTATTTTGTTAAAAATTTGTAGCTCAAGTATTGAGCCTTGACTTTACAAAAACCTTGATTCAGATTCTATGTGCATTATTCATTGGTCACAAACAAAAACCCTAAACTGACTTTAATCTATGGAGGACATAGAAGGCAGGCAATAGGTTTTTTTATAGTAATTTGGTTATTTCCCCATGGAGAAAGCAAATAAAAGTACATTTCTATTTGCCATGCCTCGTCTTAGTAGGTCTTAGTGTGTTTTTTATTTATTTATTTTTTAATTTTCATTTGCATTATTAGTGTGTGACGACTCTCATTTCATGTTCGGCACAGATGGATTTCTTGTCAGTGAACCTTGAATATAACTGCGCCTCCTCAAAGAGTTTTGCACAAGAGTTGAGAAACTTGCAGGTACTGCAAACATTTTAATATTTTTAGGACTATCATGGATTTTTTATTTATTTATTTTTTTTGCATTTTACCTTTACAAAATTATACCATATACAATTAAACAATGTTGTGTTCTAGACATCTGCTGGAAATTTGCCAATCTTGATATACAAGATGCCAGTTCGTGACTGTATCCCGAGTGAACACAAGCTTCTTGGAGATTTATTACAAGGCAAGTATCATGCTGGTCAACACAATTTATAGGTTATTTCTAAATTATCAATAGCAGAATCAAATTACTACTGTTGGATATTTTACACAGTGTAAGTGTTTAAAAATCATTACCCTTAAACCTACATAATTATTAGGAAAAAAAAAAGTGTTCATAAAATTATTTCTGTGATGTTTGAAAGGAACAAGCTTAATGTTTACACTCTAAATACCTGCAATGTGGTAGTCTTTCATCAACAGTACAATGAACGTTAGTTGGCACTAATCATCACACATCAAGATGTAATGGAATACGGAAATTTAATTAATAAGCAAAATTAGAAAATGGAAGAACATATATTCTCCTTATTTTAAGATGTGTAGCTTAAAAGAAGCTGCACAATTGTGTGGTGAAAAGATTTGGACTTTCTGTAATTTTATAACAGAAACTAGTGCAAAATCAGCCTTTTATTTATCAGTCAGTCAAGTTCTACAAGGAAAACAATTTGCAAGGTGGAGAAATGTGTTAAAGCTTTACAGCCAGACCAGTAAATATTTAGAGCTTAAGATATGATTGTGCAGGATGACAAAAACTGATTAGATAATACTTGAGGTGAAAGTCTCATTGCTAAATTCGAATAGATTATTCTTAAAGGACTCAATAATTAAGCCATATGCCAAAATATTTCTGTCCTTTTGTTTCTCTTGTATTGTGGCAGTTTTATGGACCAATAGTTTGAATATTATGGGATGTGACATGAGGAATGTATTAGATGAGCTGGACATGCAGGATTCTCCAGTCAGGTAATATTCCCTTATAATTTTAACAGTTTCCATTCCTTTCCCCAAATTGTCTTATTTCCAAATATTTCATTAGCAGGACCGAATTCAGGAAGAGTTGTGAAAACATCGTGCATAAATTTGAGGACCAAGCCAGCAATGACGAGCTGTTCCTCACTAAAGGATTTCCGCCAGGGTTCCAATGGGCAACGTCGTCAGAATCTTTCAAGGTTGAAGGTGGCTGGTTGGAAGGGGGAAAAGGAGAGACAATTTGGGATCGTTTTGGTCATGAAGGACAAGTCTTTGCAAATCACACTGCTGATCTTGCTTGTGACAGTTACAACAAAGTTGATATAGATGTCTACCTCCTGCAAAGTCTTGGAGTCAACACCTACCAGTTCTCCATTTCCTGGGCCCGTATATTCCCCTCAGGTCTCAAAGACAGCCTGAAGGAAGCAGGAGCTCTCTACTATGAAGCAGGAGCTCTCTACTATGACTCAATGCTCCCTCCTCTCTCCATTGGGATCTGCCTCAGGCTCTCCAAGACAATGGTGGATGGACCAACCCTTCCATTATTGCAGCTTACAAGGACTATGCAGCCTTCTGCTTCAATAGATATGGAGACAGGGTCAAGAGCTGGAACACATTCAGTAGTCCTGGGTGGTGAGCCATGCTGGATATGGCACAGGTGTGCATGCTCCAGGAATAAAAGACTATGTGACTGCTTCTTATCAGGTAAACATAGCGGTATCCCCACATCAAAACCTTTTAAACTTGTCTAAATTTGTTTAGGCTATAACCCTTCACTTGTTAATTCTTATTTCTACAGGTTACTCATAATATACTGAAATCCCATGCTGAAGCCTGGCATGTCTACAATGACAATTACAGAAAGACACAGGGAGGGAAAGTGGGCATTGCATTAAACTCTGACTGGGCAGAACCTGCTGATGTTGACAAACCTGAAGATAAGGCAGCTGCAACACGCTACCTGGAGTTTATGCTAGGCTGGTTTGCCCATCCAATCTTCATAGATGGGGATTACCCTGCGGTTCTCAAAACTCAGATTGCAAACAAAGCAAAAGAGTGTCCCTCATCTGTGCCAGTAGTGCTTCCAACTTTCACTGATGAAGAGAAGGCAAGGATCAAGGGAACTTCTGACTTTTTTGGTTTAAATCATTATACCTCCCGTTTAGTTAGCAGCAGTGCAGGTGGGTGCATCCCTGGCCCTGCAGGAGTTGGAGACTTCCAGGCAAAAATGGACCCTTCATGGCCTGCTACAGCATCAGACTGGATCTACTCCATGCCCACAGGGCTACGGTCACTTCTGACCCACATTAAAACAACATATCTAACTGTTAACAATGTGCCCATTTACATAACTGGGAATGGCATGCCAACAAATGACACCTTCAATGACACTAGCAGAATAGAGTACATGGGGGGTTACATCAGAGAGGCCCAAAAAGGTTTGTGCCTTTCTTTTCTTTAATATTTGGCATCTGTTTATCAGAAGGAAACCAGTCATACATTTTCTTTGTTGTCTTCTGTTTCATTCTGCAGCTATTGAATTCGATAAAGTGGATGTGCAGAGATTCACAGTACAATCATTTATGGATGGATTTGAGGGAAATAAAGGGTACAGTGAAAGATTTGGACTTCACCAGGTTAATTTTGCAGATAGCTACAGACCAAGAACACCAAGACAATCAGCATATTTCTTTGCTCAGATCATCGAGCAAAATGGTTTTGTTTCACGTAAACAAGATCATTTTGAAGGTGTGAAAATATCACCATCTCGCCGTTCCACCCCACTGCCACCCTCAGAGGTCCCATCAGCGTCAAAGGCTGTCTGGGAAAAATTTACACCACAGAAAAAGTTTGACAGGCAAATGTATCACTATGGCAAATTCTCACAAGACTTCTTATGGGGCATCTCATCATCAGCTTACCAGATTGAGGGAGGATATAACCAGGATGGGAAAGGACCCAGTGTATGGGATGTAGTCAGTAATAACCCAGGTAGTGGTATTCCTGAAGATGTTAATGGAAACGTTGCCTGTGACAGTTACAATAGACTTGAAGAAGACCTTTACATGCTGCAAGCTATGAAAGTGAAATCATACAGATTTTCACTGTCATGGTCCAGAATCTTCCCGATGGTAGACGTGCATCCCTGAACCAAAAGGGTGTTGACTATTACAACAGACTTATTAACGGCCTCTTGGCCAGAAAAATCACCCCACTGGTCACAATTTATCACTGGGACCTCCCACAAGCTCTACAAGACATTGGTGGCTGGCAAAATGTGGAGATGATTAACATTTTTAATGATTATTCTGACTTCTGCTTTGCCACTTTTGGTGACAGAGTAAAATTCTGGATGACCATGAATGACCCTCAAGGACTTGCATGGTTAGGATATGGAACCGGACAAATCCCTCCAAAAATTAAGGAGCCAGGAACAGCATCATACCAAGTTGGACATAACTTGATTAAAGCTCACGCTACAGCCTACCATACATATAATGATAAATACCGTGCTTCTCAGGGAGGTATGGTTTCCATTGCCCTTAATGCTGAATGGGTTGAACCTAAAGACATCAATGTTCCTCGTGATCTTGTTGCTGCTGACCGTGCAATGCAGTTCAACGTGGGTTGGTTTGCCCATCCAATCTTCAAGAATGGAGATTATCCAGAGGCCATGAAAGCCCAAGTTTTAATTAAAAGTGAACTCCAAGGTCTTAAACAGTCAAGACTCCCTTCATTCACAGAGGAGGAAAAGAACTTGATCAAAGGAACTGCTGACATGTTCTGTGTGAATCACTACACCACCAGGCTAGTAACCCATATCACAGGTCTGCTGTCTCCACATTCCTATCAAAATGACTGGGACTATGAAGAAGAACAAGAAAGTGGTTCACCAGCTACAGCCATCAAAAACCAGAGAGCTGTATCATGGGGCCTAAGGAGACTCCTGAATTGGATCATGGAAGAGTATGGAGACCCTGAAATTTACATAACTGATAATGGTGGAGCTACAACAGCAAAAACTACGTGGGATGACATTGACAGAGTGTTTTTTTACAAGACTTACATAAATGAAGCTCTTAAAGGTACCTTATTATAATCAAATGCTTTGGATAACATTTTGAAGCTGGCATACTGTACTTGATTCTATACTTGATCATTTATTCATATTTGTGTTTCTCAATTACAGCCTATGAACTTGATGGGGTAACGCTAAAGGGCTACACAGCAACATCTCTCATGGACTCCTTTGAGTGGTTGAATGGCTATACTGTTGGATATGGATTCTTCCATGTTGACTTCACTGACCCAAACCGACCAAGATCACCCAAGCTGTCAGCTCATTTTTACTTCCAACTCATGAAAGACAATGGTTTCCCTGTAACAGAAGATGAGAAGATGCTGTATGGAGAGTTTCCTCAGGGTTTCCTTTGGAGTAGTGCCACAGCAGCTTACCAGGTAGGACAAGAGAACTCCAAATTTATTTGTCTTGGATTAATTGTATTTTTTTTACCTTTTTTTATTGTTCTTTCTTTGCTATTTTTAGATTGAGGGTGGATGGAGAGCTGATGGAAAAAGTCTCAGCATCTGGGATAAATTTGCTCACACGCCGCTCAAGATTTTTGACAGTGATAATGGGGACATTGCTTGTGACAGTTACAATAAAATAGATGAAGACATTGCAATATTGAAGCAACTTGGGGTTAACCATTATCGTTTCTCTATATCCTGGACTCGGGTACTTCCTGATGGCACAACAAATCACATCAATGAGGTTGGATTTCGCTACTATGACAGACTGGTGGATGCGCTGCTTGCTGCAAACATTCAGCCTCATGTAAGTTTAGCTCGTCTTTGCTCTCCAATATAGACTTTACAACAAAAATGTCCAAATACTCAAAAGTGTTTATTTCTTTTCTTTCAGGTAACTTTGTACCACTGGGATCTCCCACAAGCTCTGCAGAATGTGGGAGGTTGGGAGAATGAAACTATTGTCCAAAGATTCAGGGATTATGCTGATGTTATGTTCAGCCGTCTCGGAGACAGAGTGAAACTTTGGATCACCATTAATGAGCCATATAACGTAGCAATGATTGGACATGGATATGGAGTAGCCGCCCCAGGTATTCTTTACTTGCAATGAGCAAAATAAAAAATATTTTGTGGTGGTAAGGAGTCAGGAAATGTGATTTAGCCAAAAACTCCAAAGACATGAAGATGAACTGCAACTAACCCAGATTGTGTTTTCAGGCATTAGTTTCCGTCCAGGTACTCTTCCCTACATTGTTGCTCATAACCTTATCAAGGCTCATGCTGAAGCATGGCACCTTTACAATGACAAATATCGGGCTAGACAGAATGGAAAAGTCTCTATCACTATTAACTCTGACTGGTCAGAGCCCAGAAACCCATATAAGCAAGAGGACATTGATGCAGCAAGACGTGTCATACAGGTAAACCAAGTCCTGTCACATTCTTTACAAAACATTATTGTTCTTCTGGTTGAGACATTGATGATTTGTGCCTCTTTGTGCAGTTCTACATTGGGTGGTTTGCCCATCCCATATTTAATGGTGACTATAGTGAAATGATGAAGACAATCATTCGGGAACGCAGTCTTGCAGCTGGATTGACTAAATCACGGTACCACAAAAAAAACAAAGAAAAAATATTTCTTTAGCACCTCTAACATATGTCTGACCACATACCTCTTTTAATTTCTGCAACCTGTGATTTTCAAAAGCTGGTTTGGGTTGTATGTTTCAAGGGATTCCCTTTTCCCATTTGGTTTAAATTGAAGCAAAAACTTTAGAGAATCCAATTTTCCACCTAAATTAAATTCCGTTTTATGTTCTCTAGGCTACCTGAATTTACCCCAGAGGAAATAAAGAGAATTAAGGGGACCCATGATTATTTTGGATTCAACCATTACACCACTGTCCTGGCTTTCCCTGTCGAGTATGGAAATCTTCAGCATTACGATGCAGACAAGTGAGTAAGAACTTGCACATATCAATTTTGAATGTGTATTTAATTTGTTTTAAAATTTAAATAAACACGTGAACTCTGGACTATCCATAGGGGTGCAGGGACATATGTTGATCGGACCTGGCTGGATTCTGGTTCTGGCTGGCTGAAGGTCACACCATTTGGGTTGCGCAGAATATTGAACTTTATTAAGGAGGAATATGGAAATCCTACGATTATCATCACTGAGAATGGGGTCTCAGAGCGTGGGCCCACAAATCTTAAAGATTCTCACAGGAGTTACTTTTATGAAAAATATATTAACCAAGTGCTAAAAGGTATTGAAATAAATTAATTGAACACACTGTTTTCTATTATGGACAAAATAAGAAAATGAAAAGATTAATTATATTCTTCCAGCTTACCGGCTTGATAATGTGGATGTCCGTGGCTACACAGCATGGTCACTCATGGACAACCTGGAGTGGGCCACTGGCTTCTCAGAGAGATTTGGACTTTTTTATGTCAATCGCTCTGACCCCAATGTCCCTCGAGTGGCCAAGGAATCTGTGTCTTTCTTCTCCACCATCATCAAGTGCAATGGGTTTCCCGACCCTGCATCAGGACCTCATGATTGTTTGAAGCCTGAACCTGAAGGTAATTGTAGAAGATTATAAACATTTTGGAAATAAACATATGTTTTATATAACCGTGTGAAAAAACAGAGCTTCAATTTTACCTAAAACTTTTTTTTTCAGCAACAAGTGCTCCAGAAAATGACAATTCAGTGAACTTTCTGGGTCTGAGGCTCTCCGCTGAAGAAGCTGAAACCGGATTTAACACTACATTTGCTCTGCTGCTTGTGGCAGCAACTGGAGCCATTTGTTTGTCCATCGGTTGCTTTCTCACTAAAAGACGTTCAAAATAAGTTGAAAGTTGAAATTGTACCTGTAGCTACCATTCAGACATTTATTTTAGCATTTATGTGGACATTTGTAAAGTCTACATAACACACCATAATCCACAGACAGAGGAAATTGCAGCTAACACTGAATGTTTTGGATGATTCACTTATTTTAATTCACTGGGTTTTTTTTACAACATAAGTAAACTGATATTAAAATGTTTATGTATGTAAATGTTTATATAGCTAGAAATATGTTAAAGTGTCTTCAAACATTCAACTACAGTGTTCATGTATGACATCTTTAATTAAAATATGTAACATTTAATAAAGACAGTTATGGTGTCCTATAGTTATTGTGCTTCTTTTACATGTTTTTGCTCCAAAAAAGATGCATGTGAGGAAGCTAGGTATTATGCTAGATATTTAAAATTCAGCATCGTTCATGTTATACTCCAGTAATACTTGGTGATACAGACATAACTATTGTGAAGTTCATATCTTCTTCTTAGAAATTTCAGACATGATGGGTGTTATTTTTTTGACGCACTAACACAGGCAAAATATGAAAACATATAATCACATTTCTCAAAACTTGAAAATTTAAATATACCGGTGCAACAAAATTTTAAATTTAATAAGTAAAAGGCTTAAAAGAACATAAATATCATGTGTTGGCAACATTACTTAATTGGGGCAGCTTTTATTCAGTTTTAATATCAACATTTACTTCAAGTTTGACATCTTGCTATTCTAACACTGTTGAGGCTGTATGGTACAGACCGTCCACAAGAGGGCAGAGTAGTACAGGTACACTCTTCTCTTTATTTTTGATGAGTTCTATCAAGAGACAATATGATTCAGCAGACAATGAAAACTAAATTTAGTAAAGAAGCAATTTTGCTGGATAGTTCCTGTAAAGGCAGCAGCTATTTTGAGGGAAGACACTGCATTCAAATTAGTTCAAATATTAACTGCAGCAAATTATTCATGCATAATGTCGAATGTTTAATAAATCCTGTGTTTAAAGCCAGCCTGCAGCTGATGTTCAGTCTGCTCTGATAGAAGCAGGGAAGCGGTTCGGGTCTAGTCTCAGGAGAATGAGGTTAAATGTTTTTGCGTTTGCAGGAAATGGGGAGGTTGCAGCAGTTTGAGAGACGGCTGGTTTGAAGAAGCCACGTGATGAATCATACTTCCTCTAAGAGTTAGGCCTCAACTATTTGTGCCTCTTCATTTACATTTTGCACATACGGGGATGGCGGGTACGAGGTAAGACTGCTCAACTCATCTCTTCAGCTTTGAGGCTCTTATTTCTTCAAAAGGCATTTTTTTTAATATCTACTGTTATTAAATCTCGAAGTGAGATGCATAAAATGAAATTAAGATTTAGTGTAATTGAAAGGCTGACAAGTTTGACATTTCCTCAAAAACAGACATCGGCAGTGTTCTTACATATAAAGATCAGATGTCAACTTCTGAGTTACGTTTTTCTGTTGGGGAAGGAACACATTAGAATAAGTTAATTTAGTAGTTTTTATTTGAATTTGTTTTATAAAGACCTCATGCATGACTAAAGTATCAGCTTCCGTTGTTTGGACGGTTTCAGTCAGTTTCCGGTTAATGAAGCCTCTTCTCTCTTTCACTTAGTTCAGGGGCCATTATGAGGATTGGACCATTGTTGCTTCCTGGGGTTTATAAATTATTTATCAGCTTCAAGATGAAGAAATTTAACTGATTTTATGAAGGAGGAGAAAGCATTGTTAATATCAACATTTACTTCAAAGCTACAGAAATTTTGATCAAATAAATAAATCCAATATTTTACTTTAATATGCAATAAAAAAAATCTGCATCACAAAGATTAATATGTGCCATGTGGGAGTCTGGGCTGCTCAATATAAATCACTTATTGCTTCCTTATAGCTTCTGTTGGTAGCATAGCCTATGGAGCTTCAGCTTCTTAATGTTCTTCAGCAAAGGGCATCTTTATCTGATCATAATGGACTGAGTAGAAAAAGTACAAACAAGCTGTCAGGAAAGTAGATACAGAGGAGAGATGAGTAATAGTGATAAACTGACAATATGCAGATAAAAACATGCAGCCAGTAACTGAGGACATCTGGGGGCAGATGGGAACAAAACCATGAAACAAACTTCACTGCTTTTAAAGGTGAAATCAAATGTTTACAGCAGCGGCACAAAATGACACTTTTTAAAAAAGTCACTGTGAAAATCAGGGTAAACATTTCCTGCTTTCAGATAGGTTAACAGAATTATTTCTATTTGCTTAATGGCAAATTAATGAGCGATTTCTTTAAGCTTTCTTCTAATTCAAAAGTTTACACAGTGCCCTAGTTTTTTGTGGCTTTGCCTTTCAACTGTATGATTTGAGACAGATTTTCTTCGACAAGCTTCTCACGCTAATTTCTCTGGTACTTTGTGTGGTGTAACATCAGGTTTGTAGGTTTTCTTGCTCAAAAACAATTTCAGTTCTCCACATGGATCCTCTATGGGGTTGAAATCAAGCTAATGGCCACTCCAACATGACTCTGCTGTCCTTAAGTCACTGCATAGCTAATTTGGTGATATTACTATGGCAATTGCTCATTTGGACCACTCACTTGCAACCACAATTGAATTTCCTGGCTGATTGTTAAAAATGTTACTTTAGTATTTCCACATAATGCTATTTCCCCATGATGTGATCTATATTGTGTGAAGAGCACCAGTCCCTCCTGCAGCAAATCCTCATACTTCACAGTCGGGATTGTCTTCTCATGCTTACAACCATCCTTCAATCTACATCCTTCAACCTACATAATGATCATTATGGTCAAGCGCTTCAGTATTGTTTCCTTCAAACCATAGAACATGGCGCGAAATATTTATTTTTGCCCTGATTTGGGCCTTAATGTTGCTTTTCAATGAAGGACGTCTTCCTCGCCGAGTGGTTTTTCAAGCCATGTTGGTACATGACTTGTTTTGCTATGGACATTGACATGCTGCCACCGGTTAGCATTTTCACAAGGGCTTTTGTTTCACACCTAAACTCTGTAACACAAAACTTGTCTCCTTCCTGAATAATGCAATGACATGACTCTCCTGCTGTTCAAATTCTACTTATTTTGTGGCAACTTCAACAATAGCAATATTAATGTATGCAATCTTCTGATTTTGGAGATTCCATAAATTTGTCTAAAATACCTCTGTCTCTCATTGTTTGGACATTTGACACATAGCAAAACTTTCGGTAGTTTTACCTGACCTAAAACGGGAAACATTTACTTTGATTCCATGTCAGACAGTGAGTGGAAAGTTTGTTATGTAATATTATGTAAATGTCTGGTTTCATTTGTTTGTCTCAAGTGGTGCACTGATTGTAGCAGAGCAACACCAGAATATACAAAAATAATCTAAAAGAGCCACAAAAAAAAAAATACCAGATATATTAACAAAATTACTGAAAGAGTAATAAAAACTTTAAAAAGTTCTAGAGCTATAGATATATCAACTTAAGATTTTTACAACAGTGAAAGAAAACAAAGTAATCAGTCGTCTGAAAAAAAGTACATTTGACTGGTTTGTGAAACTAACTTGAATCAAAATAAGAAACATTTCCTGAAAAACAAGACGTGTTTTTATTGTTCTTGGTATTAATTTCATTGATGTATTTTGTTTTAAACTTCTTATATTTCTGATGAATCTCTTTTTACTGAGAACCTGAGTTGTACAAGTAGAAAGATATCACTTCTGCTAACACATTCAACCTCATTGTTTCCTGTCAGTTAGCCTCTAATGCTTACTTTGACATGCACTTTTTTAACATGTTAATTTGATGCAACACTTTACAGTGTGTAAAACTTAAGTAGGCAAACCGCAAGAAACGGCAAGGTTTACTAAAATGATTTAAACTCTCTGTTGTGTGAACTAAAAATATGAGGCGAGTATCTCGACTTTGTCTCTTCATATTTTCCTTGTTTGAACAGTGTTAAACGACCCACCGTCATCTCATTAAAATATCTTTTTTTGGTGTCATCTCCATTCTTACTAATGTCAGTTTTAATTTTTAATTTCCATCTTTCTTGTGTCTAATATCTATTTAATCTGGGTGACATTAACATCCTTTTCTTTCGTACTTTCTGTGTTGCTCTGCATTACACCTGCGGAAAATGTAAACTATCAATATAACTATTAATAATATAACAACTAACATGCTAAAATTTTATGAAGCCAAAACTGAAGGGTCAGATTCTGTCTCACAAAATCAGGGATATCATTTTTTTTTTTTACTATATATGTACATTTTATTAACTAATTATTGTTAACTTTTTTCTTTTTTAAACAAACACCTTAAAGAAATTATGAAATCCAATAAACAATTTGGAGAGATTATTAATCTTTATTTTACTGAAAAATATAATCAGTAATCCTGAACTAAGTCTTTGATGTTACTTTATGTGGAAAATATTTTTCAGAATAATTAAAGATGGGCATATTGACAGAGTTTATGCCATTTAATCAGAATGTTTTGGGAAATGTTTTGGACTTACACCTGTTAACCAGCAGGAGGAAATGCATTTGATATATCAATAAAGTCCACTAAACCAGAAAATGTTCAAATGTCTCCCATGCAAATAGTTCTAATCCTAACATGTAAAATACAATAATTTATAAACGTGTACTCTCCCTGTTTGCAACACAAACGTTAGCATTTCATAACAAGTAGTCTCTAAAAGATTGAAGTCAAGTGAACGAGTGAAAGTCAATGGTTTTGGTAACACTGAAACCAGACACATCACAGGAGATGCAACACGGGAGACGTGGGTCGCATGAAGCAGAAGTTTCTGGTGCCCCTTTGCTAAATAAAGCCAGGTTTCCGATAGGTTACAAATGGCATATTTATATCTATGAAACATATCTGACCAGAACCTTGATGTACTATTCTACAAAATAGATACCCAGATGTGTGTATTTTTAGAGGTTCAAGTATATTTGAGAGTACTCCTAAAGAAAGGCCACCAGTGATACTTCTAACGCAGAGCAAGAATTATAGTGCTGAACAGGGGCGTCACCAGGAATCCTGGGGCCCATGGCAAAAAGTAAAAGTGGGGGGTCCTTCACAGATGCTTTGTCTTTACCACAATATTCACTGCGAGTGAATTTTATAAGCAACAGTCCACATACTGCATGCATATAGGTTCAGAGTTCAGTTTATTACCAGAATCTAAGCCTCTTCCTCCTAAAAACACACAAAATAAGACACTGATATATCTTATTTCTGTCTAAATCAGTAAAAAAAACAAAATGTTAACATTTATAAAGTGTTTAGATGGCGCACAGTTACACTTTGCT